GGGGGGGGAAGGGGGATGCAAGGGGAAAAGCTATCTTCAGAGATGTCTAGTGAGGAACAACAATGGCAGTGCAAGCACTGATGGGGGTAGCCCCTGTGGGCTGTGAGACAGACCACAGAGCTGTTCGCTGAAGAATGTGGCAGCGGATTGAGAACCTCTTGTCAATACACAAATGGGCATGCAGGGTAAGGATGACCAACCTTTGATAAAAATCTGTCTGCGGAACCTCCAAGGAAAAAGGAATAAATTCAGACGAAGGGAAAACGAAAGAGAAGTGATTGTGCATTAAACCACCAGTACACGCCCCCAGCCTTGCAGAAAAGTAAACTTGTCGCCACAAGAGAAATTTGAGGCTAGGGGCCGCGGCCTGGTGAAGCGACGGGCAAGTAGGCTTGTGGGCCCAATGAAGACGGACAACTGGACTAAAGCTTTCCTGCTTGTCCTGTCTGCCCGTGCATTTCCTCATTCATGTACAGAGCCAGCATCGCTGACACGGGGATAACAACAAAGAAAAAGCGAAAACAACAACAACAACAACAACAACAACAACAACAACAACAACAACAACAACAACGAGAAGCATTGGGCCTGGCAGCACAAAAGACAAAAAAAGGTGGCAATGTATCTTTCCATATCTAGGTTTTCTGGGTTTCCTTTGGATGCATTTCGCCACATTCCTGGTCCATATTCGAGGGAAACTCAAAAGAGTCTTTCTGTTTTAGGTGCCCTGCCAGCAAGGCAGGGCGTTTTTCAACTGTTCCTGGTAGCCCGTTCCTCTCGGAAGACGGTGCACGTATCTACCGTCTAAAGCAGTCTTTATGCATCGAGCGGCATGCCTCTGGGGGCAAGCAGCCCCCAACCAGTTACTGGCGCCTGTCGGCCCGGACTGCCTGCAAAATTTGGAGATAACGTGCCCAGAAGAGAAAGGCACCCGGTTTCACGGGGATGCCAGCCTTTCTCAAACTATGACCATTGTTTTGCTGTTTTTGTTTTTTTCATGAATCTCTTACCGTTTTGGGGTAGATACAGGCGCATTCCTTTGAGGGTACACTCAGGGCGAGATCGTATTGGCAAAGAGGATTGTAGTAAGTGTCTGAATGTGGACGTGTTTGAGGACAGGTCCAAAAAATTGTGATTTATCTACTTTTTCCGCACATCTGCATGGAACACGTCCAGATTCAGACACTTTTTTGAAGTTTTTTCCAATCCTCTTTGACAGTGGGATGTGGCCCTCAGACCACGGCCTGACTGGGATGTATCCTACTGCTATTGCTGCCAAACTCAGCAGAAAATGTCAGAGTTCCCGTTTTATTTTATTTTATTGTTTCCTCTTCTTCATAGTTGCTGTATCTCTTTGAAACCACCTGTATCTGGTGCTCGAAGTCGGCCAGGTACACGGGCGGGCTTTGTGGAGGGTTTGGCTGCGGTGCCACACGAGTGAAATCGACAGCCTTCCAGTGTCAAACTACAGTAGCGGGTACCGGTGCCACCGTTTATTTTCCAAGCAGCGGTACCGATCTCTTTTAGGCTCGGCAAAATTCGAATTTAGGCTCGTACAATTAGCCTCGGGTGTACTGGTGGTTTAAGGTGCTAAGATTGGCACATACTTGTTGTTATCAAAGCCGATCTTGTGAAATATTGGTGGACAGATATGTGATACAGCCACAGCAGCCAGCAAGGAGAGGAGGGTGCAAACTCCACAAACTTGCAGCTCCTGTCATCTTGTATGTCCTTGTGTGCGCATTACTTGTCAATATATGCAGTGGTGTGTCCGTTTTGATTGAGTCTGCCCTCTACCACGGTACCATGTTGGTCTCGTGCTAGCACCATGTTGGTATCATGGTTATCATGGTACAGGACAGTATCCGTCTTGCCATTGTTTTATGTCTAGGATTGGACAACTGCAAGAGAGAGAGAGAGAGAGAGAGAGAGAGAGAGAGAGAGAGAGAGAGAGAGAGAGAGAGGTTAACTGAACAACACCGTGGCAGAAGTTGATGGAAATCTTTAAAATCTCAAATAAATGACGAAAAAGTTCGCTGAACTTCGCTGCAAATTGTTTGTTGAGCACAAATTACTAAATTAGAGTACACGCACACTAGGCCCTCAAAATGGCAGACTCGCAAAATGAGCAGCCGGATTGAATCCTCCTTTTAGAAGGACTTGATTTGGCCAGTGATTTTGCGATTCTGCAATTTTGAGTGCGTGTGAGTATGCCCTTATTGTTAAGGAGAGGGGTGAAAATCATCCCCTACTCTAATTGCTGTTAAGCACAGCAACATGTAGGAGGAAGGAAAAAGGATGAAGGTTCTCCCATTCACTTATCTAAAGATGGAGTCCTAGTTGCTTCAACAAGGAAGAAAGACAAGTGATCACCATTCACAAAGCCATGAAGTGGTCCCCACGTTCTTGTCGATGAGTGCCACACACATGCTAAGTTGTTAACTGTTGACAGAAAAGATCGCGTGTTCAAATCCTGACGATACACACGTGTGATTCCGAGCTATTGCACAAAAGCATGTATTCGCATGTTTGTATGCCCTGGTAATTTTGCAATCTACTTTATTAATATCCCCCCTCCCCCTCCCCCTCCCCCCCCATCCCCTTTTAGGAGAAAAATTGAGCCAAACTAAAAAGAAAAGAAAAGACATGAAGTGGGGAGTAGAAATTCTGAAAACGCAAGCAAGCAAGTTTAGCCCAGAGGATTGTTCAAGCTCTTCTTGCATTCTTTTCTTTCTTTTTTTTCTTTTTTTTCTTTTTTTTTGGTTGTTGTTGCTATTCTTCCATTCTCTGTTGCATTCAAGTGGAAGTGGTCAGTATGCACAAATTTAAAAAAAGAGTGTACATCACGTCACGGGCTAGGAGTTGAGCAACTCACCCTACCTCCCCTACCTCCCTGCCCACTAATTCCCATGGCTTGGCGATCAATGTCAGGAGAACAGCCCTGTGACCGAAAGAGGCAAATGACAAAACCGATGTGCAGGAGAGGAGGAGGAGGAGGAGGAGAAGCAAAGGAGCCTCAGGAAAGGACTGTGTGGGGAGGAGATGTGGGCATGAGGTAACTTTTTTTTTTTTTTTTTTTTTTTGAAACGGGCACGAGGTAATGTAGTTGGTGGTGGCTCTATAAAATTTAAATTCCATTTTATAATCTGAGATGGTATGACATAAGAACCTGCTTAAAATAAATAAAAAAACAAATGAATGAGTAAGTATTGAAATAAATAAATAAATAAACTGACCTGGTATGACAGAGCTGAGGAACTATGCTTTGGTAGTTTTTTTGCTCCGCCATGTGTATGCAAATACTGACACCACACTTTGCAAAAAACAAAAATAAATAATATTATAATAGCAATGCCACACGATAGAGTTTACTGTTTGTTTTGTCTTCTGGCTCTTTTCTGATGTTGACAACGGCATTTTGCTTTTTTTCTTTTTTGAGTGAAATGTTTGTTGCGTGTTCACATGTCCAGTCTGTTTATTGAACTCTGCTGGTTTTTTTTTTTTTGTTTTGTTGTTGTTGTTGCTCTTCCTGTTTCCTGAGCAGTACATTATGTGCCTTGATGTGACTTCCTCAGGCAATATGATAGTCACAGGTAGGTCTTCTTTTTCGCTTTTTTTTTTTTTTTTTTTGTAACTTTTGTCTTGTTTTTTAGGGTTCCCCTTTGGGAACTGGTATCTGGTGAAAAGAGGAAGGTCCGCCTCTTTATTGTTGCCATCACACTATATTCATGTACTTTGAAAGAGAATGTTCAAACGTTGAACCTGTGTAGCACGGCGAAGACATTCGCCGGCTTGGTGAACACGTGGACACTCGCACATGTCATGAACGGCGCAAAAAAGTGGCCCGCGGCCAGCTTTCCTGCAGGTGTTTTCTGGCCGTTTGGCCCAGTTTGGAGGGGCTGGCGACAACGGGGTGGCAGGCACGGCGGGCGGG